ACAAAAAGTATATACAAAAATAGCTACAATTTACACTTATCAAACTCTCTCCAAAATAAACTAATTTTTTTACCTTAAACAAAGATCAAATAACCCAAATAACAAAGAATGATAAATAAAATAATCACGAATCAATAGGTTTTGAAAACAGAAAACAAATGCAATGGTTCAAATGAAAATAATACACACAAAGTAAACACTCATCACTAAACTACGATTATAACATAAACAAGAAACAAATGCTAAATACAAAACTTATGTCAAACATTCTAAAACAATACTAGTTCACAAATGAATAACACCTATCAAACACAATCATCGGTAGATGAAAAACACAAAACAATGGGGTATTTTCACTCATCAAACAATTTTGCAAACAATAGAATAAATTATGAATTGATCCAAAAATTTAAATTGAAAATATAAAAGCGAGAATCTCAACGGCTTTTTAAGGTTTTAATGTTGCTTGGTTAACAAACAAGGGATAAGTCCTAAAGCTAATAAAAATAAAAACTTGCCTAAACATAAGGGAGTAATTACTTCCACAAAGTTTCAAACAATAGAATTTCAACCAAACATCGTCTTAATCCCAAATTTAAACCCAACACACATCAATTATCCAACACAACATTATTCCATACTCTTTTTATTTTTATTTTTCAATTTTTTTTCCTTTATTTATCTATCACTTCTTTTTCACATTTTTTTCTTTATTTCTTTTTCTTTTTCAACCTCATAGTAATCAACCAATAAATACACAATCATTTTTATCCCATACTTGAATTCAACCATACATTAAAGTGAATACTTCTAAATTTCTAAGGCAAGGTAAAAATTCAACTATAAATCATAGTTAAGGGTTCAAGAAAACAAGGAATCAATATCCATACAAAAAGGGAAACTAAACACTCATAGACAAGCATTTAGCAAATACATGGTTATCTAAAAAAATCTCAAAGGGGTTAATAATGATCACACACTCGCAATGTGAATTAACTATTTGGATAGGTAGTTATGCTCAAAATGGAAAAAAAATTCATTGATCACTTTATTGCATTCAAACAATCAAAACAAAACAAAAGATTAAGCATAATAAAATCCATTTAAAACAAGAATTGTGGCCTCTAGCATATGTGAACAATGGAAAGTTGCCTAAAAGAAAGGGTGGGAACTAAAGTGATTCATAAATGAACAATATACAAAATAATGAATGGTATACAAATTATAAAAAGTATATGTATCATGAATATGATAAAGTATAGAAAGTGATAAACACATACCTCGAACGTTTACAAAACTTAAAAAAAATCATTACCACGCATTCGCAAGTCGAAACGATCAAACTTGACCAATCACCTAAATATTCTACAAGTTACCGCACCAAAACATAAGTCCAAACAACAACAAAAGAATTATAATAATAATACTCCTACCAAATTTCAATGTACAAAATTTACAATATATACAATGAAGAAAACTCCTCAAGCTAAACACGACAAGCTTTCGGGACACATAAATTGACAAAACAAAATCAAATAACAATATGAAAACCGGGTGAACATGAATTAACAAGTTAAAAAGTGAAGATTTGAAATTCATAACATTTCCTTGTTTCAACTTGTTAAAACACAAATCACCACACACATAAAGAAATACAAACAAACATGCTTGTTTTACGTTGTAAGCTCGACACTTTTATTGTGCGAGCTAGTAACCTCCTCTCATCATGCCATGGTATTGTCAGATCGCGCAAACCTAAATAAAGTGTCCTAAAAATCACACAACAAATGTTACAAAAACAAGACAATTCACATCAATACGTGAAAATACATATGTGCACAAATATCATATACAAGTTAATGTACAATTTCTATACAACATATACATTAATTGAAAAACTAAAAAAAATGAAATTATTGCAATGCGAAATCAATAGAACCAATCCCCGACAACGATGCCATTTTGTTGGAACGGTGTAGTCGTAAGCAATAAAAGTTTTAGAAATATTTTTCTGGGAATTTATCGTGTCCACAGATATTGGTTATTTAATCACTACAAGAAAAATGATAGATTGGGACGGTTATTTTGGCTGATTACGACGGTTAAAACCGTCGCAATTTACAATCTACGACGGTAGAAGTACCGTCGCAGAATCGTGCGTCCCCAGCCTATTTCGCGACGGTTGCAAAAACTGTCACGCACAACAGATAGCGACGGTTATATACCGTCGTGAATTTGACTTTATTTTTTGTTTTTGTTGTTGTTTGCGACGGTTATTCTACCGCCGTAGGTTAGAAATTGCGGCGGTTTTAACCGTCATAATCTGATTTATAAATTTCAAATAATATTTTTATTTAAATTATTATTTAGTAAAATAATTTTAAATATAATATTATTTTACTATTATATTTAAATTATTATTTAAATTAATATTTTTTTTTATAGTATTTTTATTTTATTTTCTAACACTTTTCAACATAATAAAGTTAATTACAATAAAAACATTTAATATCAAATAATCATCAATAATATCAAAAAAATATGATCAAAGGTAAAAAGAAGTGCAAATTTTACCAATAAACAAGAAAAATTCAAATATCATCAAAGGCCAAATTTCATTTTAATATTTACATTGGTTTGCTACAACTTGAGAGAATTACAAAAAATGTTACAATATTCTACAAAATTCATGAAAGTCCTTTACCACATTTTGTATGTTTCTTCACACGCGCACCGCACAATACTACTCTTCTAGCTAACTCATCCATGATCACATTCTCTGCATCATTTCCTTTCAAAAAATTTTCTCTTGCAAGTAAAAGTGCTGTTTCATGTCTTTCATTCTTAATATCACATTTTGCTCCATGAGATATCAAAAGGCCACACATTTCTCCATTACTTTCTCTGGCAGCTAACATCAATGGTGTATATCCATTTTCATCAAAACCATTCACATCGTAATTCCCTTCCTTTAGTAGTTTTTCAACCATGTTTATATCTCCATAACAAGCTGCACGGTGAAGAGTATTCGCTTCGGCTAAAGTACTAATATTCAAACATCCCTTTTTAAGTGCATATTCAAACATCACCTTATGACCATCTTCACCATTTTGTTTCAAATCTATGATATCTAGAGCTGTTAAACCATCTTTGTTTTTAAGATTGGTTACATCAGCTCCAGCGTGAAGAAGCAACTTGAATGCCTTCACGCTACCCTCTGAAGCAGATATCATGACAGCTGAAAATCCACTCTCATTTTGCTCATTTAGATTTATGTTTCTGTTTTCAACGACTTTTTTCAAAGCCTCTATGTCATTCGCGTGAGTGACGAATAACAAAGATGAAAATCTAGACGCATTGCTAGACTTAACAACCTTTCTGGCTCTAATTATATCCAAAACTGCTTTCTGATATTCTTTAGTCCAATGAATAGAAGTTGTTGTTGAAGTTGCGCAATGACCAAACGAATTTACTATCCCCAAATCAGCTCCTGATGATACTAAAACTCTTAGACACTTCTCATGTTTATACCTTGTGCAAACCATCAACGCCGTGTCACCAAGTTTTGTTTGCGAGTCCAAGTTACAGTTACCATTAATCAAACATTGAAGAATGTTGCATAGTCCGAGGCGTGCAGCCATGTGAATAGGGTATAGATTGGTTTCTTCTTCAGTAGTTTGAAGGGCCAATTCTGTATCAACCCCATTATTCAGAAGTACATTCAATGCTCTTTCATTGTTGCAAATGATGGTGTGGTGCAAGAGAGTTCTTCCCATGTGAAAACTATTAGGTGAGAGGTGATGGAGAAGCATGTTGAGTATCAGATTGCCAGGAATTACCCTATTTTCACTATCACCGGTAAAAGAAGCACCATCACAGTAACGAATTTTCACTCTATTCCAGTTAAAGAAATCTGCAATCATAAGGAGCAATATGAGCCAAACAGCTAAACAAATCCCTTTTAAGCATAATATAGTTCAGTTGCATGAAAAAAAAAACCTGGATTCTCTCTAGGATTATTGCTCATTATTCCCGTAAAAGGTATCGCCTTCTCCATGAAATTTGATGATCCACGCCGTGTAGTCTTGCGATAAACGCATGTTCTAACGTTATTACACCACGCACCTCCCTGCCACAGAATTTCACATAAATATTATCAAACAACACTTTTAAACTCTTGTATACAAGATCTCATCTCGGTATACAATATAAACATATTAAGGAAACATATAAGAAAGACTGTATCATAGAACAATATGAAACACCATGAGATACCTCTAAGTTAACAATCCAGCTGTTTGCTCCCGATCCGTATCCGCGGTCGAAATGATAAGCAGGCAATGTTCCATCCAAGCAGACTGCCAAAAACAAATATTCATCATACTCAGCCAAATCAAAAGCTATACAATTTTTCAGACACTGAGAAAATCTCAAACTCTATACAAATTTTCAAGGTAATCAACCCTTGAAGGCCAGTTTGTCACATGCACTATATAACATACAAACTTGAAAAGATATAAAATTTGGGGTAAATTATTGGAGTGAATAATAATTTTCATAAACAAAACTTCAAAAAAAGAAAAAAGGGTTAGAAGTGGATTGTACCAGCTCCTTTAGCAGCAGCAGATTGAATAAAGGTGATTCCCACCATGCGAGGCTGATTCACAAGGTTGGAAGAAAAAGAATAACCTTCATGAGCTTCTAAGATAGAGAGTTCAGTTTCATTGATGTGATATGCATCAACCAATTTGATGAAAACAAGTGCTATTACAATGCTAACCCAGAAAAGCTTCACCATTGTTCTTCTTTTCTGTGTTTTGTGAAAGAAACAAGACAACAAACAAAACACAAAGGTGCAAACTTTTTGGCTCATATTGCTCCTTATGATTGCAGATTTCTTTAACTGGAATAGAGTGAAAATTCGTTACTGTGATGGTGCTTCTTTTACCGGTGATAGTGAAAATAGGGTAAATCTTCAAAACTGAAATGTTTGCCAACTCTCACCTAATTATATCCAAAACTGCTTTCTGATATTCTTTAGTCCAATGAATAGAAGTTGCTGTTGAAGTTGCGCAATGACCAAACGAATTTACTATCCCCAAATCAGCTCCTGATGATACTAAAACTCTTAGACACTTCTCATGTTTATACCTTGTGCAAACCATCAACGCCGTGTCACCAAGTTTTGTTTGCGAGTCCAAGTTACAGTTACCATTAATCAAACATTGAAGAATGTTGCATAGTCCGAGGCGTGCAGCCATGTGAATAGGGTATAGATTGGTTTCTTCTTCAGTAGTTTGAAGGGCCAATTCTGTATCAACCCCATTATTCAGAAGTACATTCAATGCTCTTTCATTGTTGCAAATGATGGTGTGGTGCAAGAGAGTTCTTCCCATGTGAAAACTATTAGGTGAGAGGTGATGGAGAAGCATGTTGAGTATCAGATTGCCGGCACCTAATAATGAAAATAAGATTGCCAGGAATCGGACGATACTTTGAAACGTCCTTACTCTTATCAGATGCAGCCGGCACCTTCTCATTGGCATTACTTGTTGCACTTTCACTCGCTTTAATAACTTTCTGGATCTGGTATTGCTGTTTCTTATCAATTGGACGAATCTGCAGCAAAAAACTGTATGTCAGAACATACATGCCTTTTCCACCTAACAGATAAATAAACCCTCTGTTACAAAAAGACACATTGTATTAAAACCAGAACATACATGCCTTTTCCACTTTAATTTCACTTGATTTCTAATATTCAGAATGTAGCAGTTATGAACTAAAACAGATTATCCTGATTAAGTCATTTAATTTTATGTCAGAAACACCTTGCAAGATTGTAACACTAAAGCAACATAAAACAACTATTCCTATTCCCAGCCCTACAAGATATATAGAATTTGATAGCCACAAAAAATAGATTGTCTAGACTCAAGCATTTTAAGGAGACATGTCCTCTTTTTTTAAGAATAGATTGCCACAAAAAATAGATTGATCAACAATAATAAAGATTGAATCATAACTATGATTTGATATGATTGATGATTTGTGGATACAAAAAAACTGAAAACATAATAAGTACTAATGCTTGTACTAATATACGACTCCAAATCCAAAGTATATAAAGAAACAAATCATGTTAATAACTAAGAAGTATGGACACTAATATTAAATTATCTAATATACTCCAAGATTAAAAAAACCATATGAGATGATACTTCAAGATAATATCAAGATATTATGAAAAATATTTTAATCTTCTAGAACCATTATATGCAACTTAAAAAGAAGCCAACTGAATTGAACCCTACAAAGAAATATCTGTAGCACCAAATGAAAATTCAGTAATGCTAAAACAAAAACATTTAATATTTTTTTAACAGAAAAGTGAAACTAAGGATACCTCTCCAATGAATGTGATTGTGAATTTGCAAAGCAGTCAACTCATAAACAAAGAAAATCACACATAAAATAAACAAATAAAGAACAAAAAGGTAACAAAGCATAAAATGCACTGGCGGTCTAGCATAGGGAGATATTTAGAATGTCCCATTTATAAATAAAAACTCTATTAAAGGTTACCATGCTGCCACACATGTGTGAGGAATTCCAAAATTATAAATGAACATTCACAGTTACAAACTTGAACAAGGTAAAAGCAAATTTACCCATACCATATTTCTGGATGCTGTCAAAGAGCTTAAATATATCACTTTTCACCGTATTTACCTGACAATAAAGAGCTAATTTAATATACCGATAGAAATACAAGGAGGCCCAAGACAAGGTATGTTTCTATGATGTATGAATTGCAATAAAAAATGAAGTGCTAATAAATTTAGCATCAGATTTTTCAGCATTAATTTTTTCATCACTTAGCCCCTACTTGTATTCACTTTTATTTAACAATCCCAAGCAGGTGTTTTATTGGTTTAAAAATATTCTAATGAAAAAAACTTGACAAGAATCTTGCATACCATACTACTATAATGCAACTAATTAACTCATGAATTTGCTGACCACATATAGAATTTTCAACTAAACATCCTTTTAAGTTTAAAATACTGAAGCAAAACAACTAATCAATTTAAGACTCAGAACATTACCCTAGACTGGTCAATTTCAGAAGATGCTAATGAGATGACTCCCGCCAATGCTTCAAGTGCTAATCCTGTAAAATACATGAGTAGCCTAATTTGTAATTTATAGATAAACAGCATTAGTTCGAGGGGTTCTGTGTTGCCAGTTTAAGCGCAAAAACAAATTACATAGAGAGAACTTGAATCTCAACGTATTTCCATATAAATCATTACCAGCAGCATAGGTACTAGATTCTGGATTATCAGAACTGTAGCGCCATCTTCCATCACTTTGGCTCAAAGCCTGCCAATAGTGAAAAACATGCGATCACAATGAACATGAGAGTTTGAAGAGCAATTGAAGCAACAAAACGTTTATGTAAGTTATGAATTAAAACGAATAAAACTGGAAAGGGTGTAGTTCTTAATTCTTATGATGAAACTTCTATTGTCACATTCAATGGGACCAAAATGGTAGTTATTGCAGAGCAAACCAAGTCCCCACAATACTCAGAGAACGAAAACAGACCTTGATTGAATGGAATGTCCCATCAGCATCAGCAAGAAGCACATCAATATCAGGTGCCTGATCCTGTAAACAGAGAAAGGGGAGATCAAAAGGAGAAAAGAAGCATAATGGAACATAATATACGAATATGACATTTGAATTTGCAATCTACAATATAAAATCAAATAAAAACATAGTCCTGAAAAGAGGAGATACTTACTTCCACTATGAATGCAAATCGCATTTACGATAGGTTAGGGATTTGAGAAATGAGATCGAGAATTACGAGATACGCGAAGAAACGACTTGTGCGAGTGAGTCTGTGTGTTTTTGGTGCAACTGAACTAGTATCATCACTGGCTCTTGATCATCTAGCCATCTTTTCAAACAACGAATCGCCGCCAGTCGCTGCCGTCACGGTGCTTCCGGATTCTCTGAACGCAGGAGTAGAAAGAGAATGGATGTTTTATGAGATTAAACAAAAGAAACTAACCAAAACCACTCCAAGTAAACCCTATCTTCATTCTAGAAAGAATACTGATCCTTCCATAATCATTTTTTCAGCACAAACATTAGAATTGGATATTAAAGCAATTAGGTCAAAAACAATAAATCAAGAAAACAAAAGAACGGCGAGCTACTCACTTCCGAAGGTGTCGTTGGCCATACAAAGGTACGCGAGGCCATCGGATCGGAGTATGTGGAAGATATATCTATCTTGAGAGAAGCAAAGTCTGGAATCCGATTCGGTAGGAAGCTTCTCGAGTAACCGACGAGCGACGGCGCCTGTGTTGCCGGTGACGGCACTGAACTCCGCCAGAACCACCGTGCCTCTGGCAACCAAGGCATACACGACATATGAAATCCCAAATCTTATTTTTTCTGTTATTCTCTTATCATAAGTATAAATGAGGAGATAATGTTGATTGGGAATAGAAAGGTTGGAGATGGATCTTGCTTCTAGTGGACCGAGATGTTCTACCTTTTCCTAAGGCCCTTCACTTTTTTTGGTATTTTTTTGGTATTTTTAACTTTTTTACTGCGACGGGTGTTTTACCGTCGTGCCCATGAGAATTTTTAAAGGTTTTGGGTGCGACGGTTGTTTTACCGTCGTGAAATGAATTTTAGGACGGATAATTTTACCGTCGTGAAAGGTTTAAGGGTGCGACGGGTGCTTTACCGTCGTGATATGCCTTTTAGGACGGTTAATTTTACCGTCGTGACTAGTTGTTGGTGAAAAATCAATGTTAAAAGTGTTAAATGGGGGCCGACGGTTGTTTTACCGTCGTAATAATAATATTATGATGGTTAAATATACCGTCGCAAAATAAATATTAGGGACGGTTGGTGTTAACCGTCGTAAAAACTGTCTCTATATGTCAATTACGACAGTTATCACATAACTGTCGCAATTTTTGTGTCGTTAAACACTAATTTTCTTGTAGTGAATCGTCATACGACAATTCATTTGTTAATGAGTTTGGGGATTAAATGGGTCTTTTTGTAAGGAAAGGGTAAAAACTATTGACAAGAAAATAAATACATTAAATAGAAAGGAGGAACCTAAAAGGAAGGAATTTACACTACTCATCACAAACTTAAACCTATTGATCAGTTGCACTCAACCTACTGTACTCGTCAAAATCATCACGGACACCAAGAGATGTACCCATAACAAAGGTTATATCTAACTCCGAGTCACGAGATCAACCGTATAACTATCGCCAATGTCTTACGCGCTACAACAACACGGAGGCATTAAGAGTTAGCACCCAAAGTGAATATTAATTCTAAATCTATCTCTAGAATCTAGAAACTAATATATATCCATCCAAAATCAAGATTTGTGAGGTATATGTCTATAACAACCAAAATCCAAACATAAAGCAAAGAGATCAAATAAGACATAAAGATTGATTTGTAAAGCTAGTTTTATGCAACACCGTGATCAACAAATATACATATGTTCAAAGTAAATATACAAACATAACAAACAAATAGAGAAATACATAGAGAAGAAATGGCGAAAAACCAAACATCTCACAGATTGTCAGCGCTGATTGATGAGAAATCTGACTCCAGATCATCAAGATGCAACCTCCAATGTTATTAAATATCTTCTCAAGACCAAAAATGGAGGTTTGATGAATTGGGACCAAAAATACCTAAAACATAACATAAAAAAAATACGTTTTTGCCCTAAATACAAATTTATGACTGTCCAGGATCGCCCGACAACAAAAAAGCATCGCCCGACGATAGCTGACAATAAGTTGAAAAATGAGTTCAGCATTCTACATTATTTTGGCCATAACTTTTGAAAAGTAACTTCGATTCGCGCCCTGTTTAAAGCGTTGTAAAGCTTATTCAATGATATTTCTAAAAATCACAAAATATAAACCACATTGATGATATTTTATTCCTTGTTTTTGAGCCTTATTCATTGACGAATTTCTGAAAATTAGAGGTTTGAAGCTATGTCTTAGACACTTTATTGCTCATGCTCCAAATAAGCATCAATACCTACAAAATAAATGGAACAACATCAAAGTGTACACTATGTACGAAAAAAAACCCAAAAAAAACACAAATGAAATGTATTTACACAGAAATCGGGTTTATTCAACGATATTAACAACAAAAAGTCGATAAGTGCAACAAAAAGTATATACAATAATAGTTACAATTTACACTTATCAAACTCTCTCCAACATAAACTATTTTTTTACCTTAAACAAAGATCAAATAACCTAAATAATAAAGAATGATAAATAAAATAATCATGAATCATTAGGTTTTGAAAACAGAAAACAAATGCAATGGTTCAAATGAAAATAATACACACAAAGTAAGCACTCATCACTAAACTACGATTATAACATAAACACGAAACAAATGCTAAATACAAAACTTATGTCAAACATTCTAAAACAATACTAGTTCACAAATGAATCACACCTATCAAACACAATCATCGGTAGATTAAAAACACAAAACAATGGGGTATTTTCACTCATCAAACAATTTTGCAAACAATAGAATAAATTAAGAATTCATCCAAAATTTTAAATTGAAAATATAAAAGCGAGAATCTCAAGGGCTTTTTAAGATTTTAATGTTGCTTGGTTAACAAACAAGGGATAAGTCCTAAAGATAATAAAAATAAAAACTTGCCTAAACCTAAGGGAGTAATTACTTCCACAAAGTTTCAAACAATAGAATTTCAACCAAACATCGTCTTCATCCCAAATTTAAAACCAACACACATCAATTATTCAAAACAACATTATTCCATACTCTTTTTATTTTTATTTTTCAATTTTTTTCCTTTCATTTTCTATCACTTATTTTTCACATTTTTTTCTTTCTTTCTTTTTCTTTTTCAACCTCATAGTAATCAACCAATAAATACACAATCATTTTTATCCCCAACTTGAATTCAACCTTACATTAAAGTGAATACTCCTAAATTTCTAAGGCAAGGTAAAAATTCAACTATAAATCATAGTTAAGGGTTCAAGAAAACAAGGAATCAATATCCATACAAAAAGGGAAACTAAACACTCATAGACAAGCATTTAGCAAATACATGGTTATCTACAAAAATCTCAAAGGGGTTAATAATGATCACACACTAACAATGTGAATTAACTATTTGGATAGGTAGTTATGCTCAAAATGGAACAAAAATGCATTGATCACTTTATTGCATTCAAACAATCAACACAAAACAAAAGATTATGCATAATAAAATCCATTTAAAACAAGAATTGTGGCCTCTAGCATATGTGAACAATGGAAAGTTGCCTAAAAGAAAGGGTTGGAACTAAAGTGATTCATAAATGAGCAAGTATACAAAATAATGAATGGTATACAAATTATAAAAATTCTATGTATCATGAATATGATAAAGTATAGAAAGTGATAAACACATACCTCGAACGTGTAAAAAACTTTAAAAAAATCATTACCACGCATTCGCAAGTCGAAACGATCAAACTTGACCAATCACCTCAATATTTTAAAAGTTAGCGCACCAAAAACATAAGTCCAAACAACAACAAAAGAATTATAATAATAATACTCCTACAAAATTTCAATATACAAAATTTACAATATATACAATGAAGAAAACTCCTCAACCTAAACACGACAAGCTTTCGGAACACACAAATTGACAAAACAAAATCAAATAACAATATGAAAACCGCGTGAACATGAATTAACAAGTTAAAAAGTGAAGATTTGAAATTCATAACATTTCCTTGTTTAAACTTGTTAAAACACAAATCACCACACACATAAACAAATACAAACAAACATGCTTGTTTTACGTCCTAAGCTCGACACTTTTATTGTGCGAGCTAGTAACCTCCTCTTATCATGCCATGGTATTGTCACACCGCGTAAACCTAAATAAAGTGTCCTAAAAATCACACAACAAATGTTACAAAAACAAGACAATTCACATCAATACGTGAAAATACATATATTGACAAATATCATATACAAGTTAATGTACAATTTCTATACAACATATACATTAATTGCAAAACTCAAAAACAATGAAATTATCGCAATGCGGAATCAATAGAACCAATCCCAGACAACAACGCCATTTTGTTGGAACGGTGTAACGGTAAGCAATACAAGTTTTAGAAATATTTTTCTGGGAATTTATCGTGTCCACAGATATTGGTTAGTGAATCTTCATACGACAATTCATTTGTTAATGAGTTTGGGGATTAAATAGGTTTGTTTGTAAGGAAAGGGTAAAAACTATTGACAAGAAAATAAATACATTAAATAGAAAGGAGAAACCGAAAAGGCAGGAAATTTACACTACTCGTCACAAACTTAAACCTATTGATCAGTTGCACTCAACCCACTGTACTCGTTAAAATCATCACGGACACCAAGAGATGTACCCACAACAAAGGTTATGTCTAACTCCAAGTCACAAGACCTACCTTATTACTCTATCGGCAATGTCTTGCGCGCTACAACAACACAGAAGCGTTAAGCTTTAGAACCCAAAGTGAATATTAACTCTAAATCTATCTCTAAAATCAAGAAACTAATATATATCCATCCTTAATCAAGATTTGTGAGGTATATGTCTATAACCAAAATCCAAACATAAAGCAAAAAGAACAAAGAAGACATAAAGATTGATTTGTAAAGCAAGCTTTATGCAACATCGTGATCAACAAATATACATATGTTGTAAGTAAATATACAAACATAACAAACATATAAAGAAATACATAGAGAAGAAATGGAGAAAAACCAAACATCTTACATATTGTCAGCGCTGATTGATGAGAAATCCGACTCCAGATCATCAAGATGCAACCTCCAATGTTGTTAAATAGCTTCTCAAGACCAAAAATGGAGGTTTGATGAATTGGGACCAAAAATACCCAAAACATAACCTAAAAATATATGTTTTTTTCCCTAAATACGCATTTATGACGGTCCAGGATCACCCAACAACAAAAAAAGCTACACCCGGCGACAGCTGACAGTAAATTGAAAAACGAGTTCAGCATTCTACATTATTTTGGCCATAAGTTTTGAATAGTAACTCTGATTCGCACCCTGTTTAAAGCGTTGTATTGCTTATTCAATGATCTTTGTAAAAATCACAAAATATAAATCAAATTGATGATATTTTATTATTTGTTTTTGAGCCTTATTCATTGACGAATTGCTCAAATTCGGACGTTTGAAGCTATGTCTTAGACACTTTATTGCTCATGCTCTAAATAAGTATCAATACCTACAAAATAAATGGAACAACATCAAAGTTTACACTATGTACACAAAAAACCAAAAAAGACACAAATTAAATGTAT